TATATATTATGGAATACTTTTTATTGTTTAATTTTTATTAAAATGAAATTTTTCCAGCGTTTGGATAAACTGTTAGAAGAGCAAAATATGCAAGACGAAATTGTATATCGTAATCAGAATGAAGGTAAGAATTATAAGTATTTGTAATGGTACTAATAAATGTTAGCTAAAATCCTTATAAACCTTCAAAATGCTTTTTTTTTTTTATATAGCCCCAAGTTACAAGTTGGCAAGAATGTATAAAATACACATTTCTTTTCTTTCTTTTTTTTTTTGTTTAAGGAAAAGCATATTGTAAATGCAAACCAGGACCACGAGGGGCACCAGGAATTGCAGGACCACAAGGTGCGCCTGGACCACAAGGACCACCAGGACCACCAGGACAATCAGGTATACTACAGAAGACATTTTGTTTCAGTAAAATAATTTCTTTCGTACTTTTCCGTATCATATGCATATCAGAATGTTTCGTAATTTTCATCCTGTTGTTACATCATAGCTCATTAAATATATATTCTGGCTATAATCGGTTTACAGCCATACCGGATGATGATGAATCATGCTTGATATTGGTGGGCAAATGTCCGGTTGGTTTCATATCGAATACAGATTATGGTGAAGTGCTACGACCATTACGAATTTTAACTGATATACCACTTCATGTGTGTTGCAAAAGTTTGATCTGATTATTTGTTTTGTGGTGTAGAATGCTTGTTGAGACAAATTTTGATTTGAAAATATGATTAAACATGTAGAAATTTGATATCTGTAATTGTTATCAACATTACAACTAAGTCCTATTCATTCCATTAATTCAATTCAAATACAGATAGAATCAAAATCGACATTTTATTCCATTCTACCTGGCTAAATTAATTGAAACTGAAAAGAAAGAATGAAAAACTATTCATGTTTAACCTTCATTCATACTACCAATAATTTATTTAGTCGGCAAGATCGATTAGTTTAAATAGAAATTGAAGTTAAAGTCAAACATATTACATCAGTTAGTTCCATAGCAACGACTTTTTTTTTTGTCACAGAATAGATTTTCCAGGCTATCCTATTCTTTCATCTCCCCACATTTCTACTGTATAAGCTGAAGCTGAAAAAGAGCTTTCGCATGTGGTACACTTCATCAAGCCAAGTTAATCCTCCAGGACGATATATGGTTACCTTAAACGCCCCATAACAGTTCAGCTTCAACTTCCCCATTCATATAGCCTCGTACATCGACACACATACTTCTGTGTGCGCAATTGTCGCCGTGTCTCTCTGTCCGCATGTATGCATTATGATATCTTCAACTGTTTAATATCACGTGAATTTCATTTTGTGTATTATGCACTATGTTTGATCGGCTGCAAATAGCGCAGAATCTTTCTGTTCCTTGTACTTTTCCCTAACTTTGAATTGGCGCAAAGAAAGCCTGAAGTTAAAAACGGCGTGTGATGTGAGCTCAGAGATCCAACAACTTGTTGTTGTTAATGTTGCTGTCTTTTCTTGTATTGGTATGTCGCGGGGAGAGGAGAGGAGAGGGTCGGAATCTAATAATATCAAAACTAAATATCGATCACGCATTTCGTCGTCCCAGTGATGACCAATTCTTCCTTTTGTAAATATTGCCATAACAGGAATGAGATATCTTGGAAAAGTTATTTTGGAGGGTGGACATTTTTTTTCGAAAATTCGTATCTTAAGAGCTGAAATTTGAAAAAGAACAATTAAACTTCGCATATCCGACTAATTATTTACGGTAGATCCGGTTAATTTACCAGAATATAAGAGAAATAATTCGTTTTATTACGGAAACCGGGTCAAGCAACGTAGCGTCTGTCACATACTGGGATATTTCACGTGAAAAATGGAATAGTAAAGTTGATAGAGGAAAGATATAAAAATGACAAACCACTTTGATGTTAAATCTGTTTTTACATATTGTATGTCTGTTTTCAGGCTTTACTTTTGAAAGAATAAATGAAAAGAGAAGTGAGAACGTACATATCACTTTCATGGAGTTAACTTGAAATGCTTTCCGATGTTTTACCAGAGAAATTGCAGACTATCGAATGTGAGGAAGATTTACCGAATGCAATTATTGTCACCAATGTACCGTCTGAGGTTTCCTTTTCTTTTTTTAATTATCAAGAAGTTTGGCACATAAAAGTACTGCCACTTTTTGAATCTTTTTTCACGTTAAAATAGTTAATCGCAATTTTGGGATATTTTACATGAAGGACGGGACAGTAAAGTTGACGAAGGAAAGATATAAAAGTGACAGACCTCTTTGACGGACATATTTGGCATATATTTGTGGACATATTTGGGAGACTATCGAGAAAAAAAATGCTAACCAATTAATGAATTTCCAAAGCTAATGACATATTAGTCAAGGTTATTTAAGTAGGAAATTTAATAGTTGACATCGTCTAATGATGTTTACTTGGTGTTCATGCCCTGATAAGTCTCCTGCTATAGGACAGCATACCCCCTATACATTTATTGTCTTCTGCTCATCGTCTCCCTGCGATAAAGTCAGCAAAGTATCTTTTATCTTTTTTTTTTGGCATTTTTATTGGCAGCTTTATCATAATAATTAGCGAAAAGTTTTCCAGGTATTTTCGGTTGACCAACACAAGGCCAATTTCTCGGACCTGTTCACTCAGATCGAATCCGGTTGTCACTTCGATTTTCTGCGAAGCTTTCGACGGGTTCGAATTACATTCGAAAAGCCCGAAAGTGCAACGGCTGCAAAACTCCTCACGCAACATTTGTCGTTTAATGGGACCATTTTAAAATCATTTTTCGCTCAGGTAATAATTTCATTTGATGCTTCCATGGACCATTAGATGATGCATTACACATAATAAAAGGATCTATTAAATGTCAGTCGTCGAGACCTTTTGTTTAACTCTATTAGACTACTAACTCTTTGTCTTTTTCATTTTAGCTTACCATTACACAGAGATGTCTCCCTAACTCATTTTGGAATGTGGAGAATATGAATGACAGAAAAAAAAGGTCCGAATACCTGTTATGGCAATATAGGAGATATTGCTATAACAGTGTTCAGATATTTCTTTTTTCTAAATTTGGTTCCATTTTTCAGACTTTGTAACAAGATATTTATATTTCTTATATTACAGTTTGCCTTAACCAAGGTTTCGTATTAGTTTTAGAAATTATGTTAGTTGGACGAACATTTTGATATACTCTGTGAATCAGCTTGGAAATTTTTGTCGTCTTTTTGACTATTTCGGAGAATTTGAGTTTTTACAGAGAATTCGATTGCGGGATGCGTCTGATGATGGGTTATTGAAATTACCACCGCTGGAGAAACAATTCCTGATCTCACCACCAGCTTCACCACCAGTTGGTTGGGAGCAAAGTCGCGAGATGGCTCCGGTGGTGTGCAATTTTGACTTGATGGCAAAGCTTGCTGCGCTTACTGTCGATGACACCTTCGAGGCTTGTATTTCCTTCCCCTTGTTCATTTTCATTATTAGCTGGTTGACCAACCGAAGTATTTGGAGTTATGGTACTACGTCAAGGTGTAGGAGTTAGCAAAAGTATTTTTAGGTGTATGAAGGTGACGAAGACAAACCGAAAATTGTGATACATCCAGCGAATGAGGAAGAAAGCAATCTCATGCCTCCCCAGTCAATGATGCCTAAGACCCCGCGACCGCCAAACACACCTCGATCTATACGGAAAGAATACACCTGAATCGGTTCCACCGCTGTCCCATGCTGTTATTCTCAATATATTTATTGTAATTTACTAGATATATCTATGTGACAATAGATTAACAATAAATACAAATGACAAATATTGCTTTTAAAATGTTTCCTCTTTCACATTTCTAGTTGAAGGGAGCGCCCGAGGTTTGTGGTTTTTAGTATGCATTGACTTTCTTCAGAAAATCAATATTTCATTTTACTTTATTTTTTCTAAAATTATTGAGAGAAACCCTTTTCTAAAACCATCGACAGCTCAGCTCGATCCTGAGTTTTGAGTTTTGCTACTCTGTTTTGCTGAAGCATCCCATCTAGTCATTCAATACGTTTCCTGACGATGTTTTGGCTCTAAATTAAAATTTCCAGATACCTATATAGCATGCTAACAAACAAATTACTGGATCTGATTTCCCCACCGGGTTCGAATAAACTGGTCCGACCGGTTTTTCTTAAGGCAAAAGAACATGCTACACTTCAATGTCATTATTCTTCATTCTTAATATTCTTTTTTGCAAAATGTCCAAGTGTAATAGAATAATTTACGAAAGTATCTATTGAGTACAAACGCGATCGGTATTAGAGCACTCTTTGCAACCACAATCCAAATCTAGGAAACAAGTAAACGTGAAGGAAGTATTTTATTTGCTCAAGCAGGTTTTATTTGATTCAGTCAGTAATATTAAGGATTGGTTAAGTTACTGCCAAAGTAAAGTTAATAAGGGAAACAAGTTGGACAACACAATAATATCATATTTATTGAAATTTTTATTTTAATTTATACAAGAGATTAGCAATATTTTTCGGGATCTGTTACTGGACATGACATTAGTGATGAAATGAAAGACGCGTTACATCATAAATTGAAGTCTAATTAAAGATTCCAGGTTTCGAAAAAGTACAGAAATAACTTCATTCCTACTCCTCTCTCCTACTGATCTAACTTTCTTTACGGACAAAAAATTCAGATGGAATAGACTGAATGAAACTTGGAATGGTTTATAGTATATTTAGCATGTAAATATTGCATGAAATTCCTAATAATTACTTGCCAACTTGATCGATTCTTACTATAAAGGTTAAGATAAATAGCTGCTAATATTAGTAAGCCACCCCACAAATATTGAGTAACAAATGGTTTTGAAAAGAATAGGAACGATAGAGCGACCGTAACTGCTTTCCGAATGGTCGTAACAGTAACAGCAATAAATGCTCCTTGAGTACGCACTAAGCTTAATACTGCATTAAGGCCAAGGTAGCCTGATATGGAAAACAGTATACTGTAACCATAAGTTTGCAATGGATGCTGAAAAACTCAAATTAATCTTAGATGACAAAGAAATCTCCTCAAAATGTAGCTAAAAGAGAGGAAAAGAAAACTTGAGCTGTAAAAGCGATCATCACATCTACCGTATTTTCCCCAAAATAAAATCCTGTGTTATATTAATTTTTGCTTCGAAAGTCATCCAACTTTTCATGCACACATATTTATTTCATCCAAGTTGCGTATATATTTGTCAAAAACTATAATATCAATAATGTTATTTATTTATATTTAATTATTTCATGATATAATACACCCGTCATATGTTGTTATGAACGTACCAAATGTGTCCCTCCGGTTGACGACCTTAAATGCAGCTGATCTTTTATCACCAGCAGCATCTTGAAAAATCAGGATATCTACTGGTGATAAAAGGGAGTTTATTTTTTGATCAGGTCTTATCTTTGAGAAAACACGGTATCATTCCATTTACACAATAATGTGCAGACTTCTTTTAAAATAATGCGCAGATTTTTTTTGAATTTTTTAAAATTTTCTCCTTGAAAATCACTCGATAAGATAACATAACACTGCACGTTTTGTGTACTAGTGCTATGATGGCTATATTTTGTAGCAATTTTCAATTTCACGCTCCATGCATGGCACTTTCCATTTTAAGTTTGGAGAAAACAAGATTCCAGAAAAAAAAAACCTTGGAGAAAAAGTAGAATCCATCCAAAAAATTGCCATAAATTATCAATCCCAGCATAATATATATGAATCCAATGGAATATGAATACAGAATCTGGAAAAGTCAACCTAAATGTCTTGAAAAATTCTTTCCGGGAGAATTTTAAGACAGAGAAATTTAATTTTTTGATCTTCCATATCTTGAAAGGTACTTCATTTAGTACGAATTAGTACAGATTTGTCGATTCATGTTTTCGAAACTGTAATTTCTGCATTCTGTGTGCCTTTCTCAACTACAGGAAAGGAAGATAAATTGATCATAATAAAGTCGACGAAAAAATCAGACAACCTTGTTCAGCAAGACGGAAATCATCGATTTAGCTGAAAGTTAACAAAGACAAACCATTCCAGACCTACACCTTTCTAACTTGTCATCCATTTACAGTTCAACTCGCAAATAGATTAAACCAGATAGTTTAATGACAAATTTACTAATAACATTTCATTACGAATGAACTTTATATTGAACATTACCGAGCATGAACCTCTTCTATACACTAACTGATTAAACACTTCCGTTAATTACTGATGATTCAAATTAACAGTGCGCATATTATCTTCCTATTTCGCTCTAAACTTTCAGAATGATAAAACGTAATTCCTCGACATTGCTCAAAGGTGAGCGCTCCCAAAATATACTAAGACAAACATGATCTGTCTAATTTTGTGTGGAATAATAAATTGCAAGTAAAAGCGCAAACTGACCATTTCATTATTGCTAGCTTTATAAATGTGCAACGATTTCTCCTGAACGTTACCAATTACTGCATCAAAAAGTAAGGCAACTGAAATCATCGTATATCCGAACGGATTAAACATTGGAGATACGGCGCTATCACCTAAGATAAAAGTAACAAGACCGAAGCTCATCACACATGCTGCTGTAAAATCGATGCAAGAGTATTGCTTCCCTGAAAAAAAAGATTCCTTACACATATATATAAATAAGATTATGCAATTTCCTTATTCACAAATAAACATTTTACTTTATGTTATTACTAACATTTTCATTTACATGTACCTAACAAAACCACCTGGAAATACGAATTAAAAAGATTTCACCTTGAATAATAATTCCACCGATTAGAACAGGTATCAATTTGCAACATTTGAAGACTACTTGTGTCGGATAGTTCAAATAACCCACGGCTACATTCGAGAAACCTATCGTACCCACCGTAAGTGTCGCTATTTCTAAGTAAATGTGTATCGGAATTCTCCTGGAACAGTGATATTTTAATTAACAATAATCGCTTCTATATTTTCTCTTCTTTATCTAATGCCAACAACTCCTTATGTTACATAACTGTTTTCTCTGAAGATAATGCAAACGTAAGAAGGTCAAATGCTATTCAGCTTTTATAAAAATGGTCACATATAACCTCAAATTTTGGGATGAAAGAAAAAAGTATCTGAGCTTTGTAAGAAACATATCAATATGAAGTTGGAAAATGAGCACTTAACTAAACTGAAAATTCAAGCCAACAGTAAAGTCAGTAAACTAACAGTAATAGAACAAACGGTTGTACCAATCATTCATTCTCATCCCCAATTAAGATAAGAAAAGTACAAGAATTACTCGAGATAAATTATCATCATCTCAAGTAAGATCAGGCAGGGATCGTATATTCTCATCGGATTCCAAATATAATTTCAAGATTACCAAGAAATTTTTGGGATATCTGAACTAAATTGCGACAATTCTTCATAGAGACAGAGCTTGAAGTTCACTAATATTAACCAAATGTATTTTGAATATCAAAAAATGTTTTTGTTCAACATAAAACAATCATGAATAGCTTATTTGTTGGGAAGGATTTAGTGTAATGATTTGATGACAAAAATTCCGAGTTTCATAGAGATTACTTTTGCAGTACTTCCGTATTTAATGTGGAAGATATATTGCATTAAATGTCAAGCCTGTCTTGCTTCTCTAAAAATGATCATCAAGAAAATCACAAACAAGCAAAATATCATAACTTACCGTTGCTTTATTATAGCGCAACAAAAACTTTCCAATGATGCCATTATGGAATAGATTAAAAATTGAATCAGTGTTAAATGCCATCCATATGATTCCATACCATCCACTTTAAACATTAATTCCTGAAAAAGACAATAGCTTCTGAATACTGAAAGAATACTTTCCTCCTAGATTCATGAATACGGAAGAAAGATCTGAAGAGACAAACCTGAATGAAACCATAGGTGATATAAAAAACGAATATTCCGCAACAAAGTACTATAAACTGTAACCCTTTTAATCTGAAATAAACATTGTATCGTTTTCTGTTAATGGAATAATAGAAAACAAAAAGAAAGTGGAGACGTGAGTCATCGCTCTCATTCAACCTGAAAGCGTATCAACTTTAACAGTAACCTAAAAGCGATACTGATTCCCAACAGCGTAACTTCTGCATTCGACACCACTACCTCTGGTTGGGGAACATCCTTGATATTAGATGGTAATAACCGTCGTAATGTTGTAGAATACAGCGAGGTATGCATTCGGAAAAGCTCATTCACCACGATCGAAATTGAAAATTACATTACTCCAATTAGTGCAGAATTAAAACTTAAAAATTGATGGGAGGAATTGCATCCATTCACAAGTTTCATAAAAATGATTTCACAAAACCGTAAGTTGTCATTAACTTTTGTCCCACCATCTTTTTCCCTGCCATCCTTCCATAAGCATTTCATAAATTAATTTCATTAATAGATACATCAAACCAAAACGATGTCCGATTGGTAACACATTCAATGATTTTACAGGCTAGTGTAAAAGGAAAAGAGATGGGCATGGAAAACATAACATGTTATGCTCTTTACTGAAGCTTAGTGGAAAATCGAAGCAGATATATTTTTATTAAGCACAAACCTTTTTTTACAAAATTCAACACCAGTAACCATAGCATGAATCAAGACCATAAATTAAACCATTGGAAAAAATAGGATAATTATCGGAAAAATGATGAACCATTTACTGACCATTTGTACAGGATACGAAAACATCTAAAGATGACCGAGATAAGATAACAATAACGTTCAATTAAGTTAGCTGCATTAAAGCACCACTTTTAAAAAGGTAAGATAACAGAAAGGAACAAAACATGTCCAATATGTGGATTTTCCCATTAAATTTAACGTCAAAAACGAACCATAGTAAGATTAATTTGGCAACGGAAAAAATAAACTATTCTATTTAACAGCACAGTATAGACAAGAATGCTTTGAATTAAAAATTCTACGTTTGTTTCGAATGCTCTATTTCCGTTCTGACTCACCACCGCTCTCACATATGATTTTGTCGCTTTAGTGAATTCAACAAATAATGGGGAAAACTGTTCCATTGTCCATTGAAATATATACATTATTAGTTGTTAAGTATCTATTTGTTCACTTATATCGATCACGATAAAAAAAGGGAAAACAAAATAATATATGAAGAACATAAAAAACAAAATAATATTGAACACCTGAGCACCACTTTCATCACTTTCTGCTTTGTCCGTAAACTCAGTACCATCGTAGTGTAATACAAATAACTGAAAGAATGTTTTTGTAAGCAAATTTCTCCGAAACAAATAGAAAAGTAAATTGATACTTCTGGGTCAGGTGAAAGAAGTATGTCAGCTAAAATTACTTACTACGATTATTACTATAGCAATTACAATGAAGAATAACAGTAAATCAATAATAATAACTACAATTAGAGTAGGAATAGCTACTAATGATATAAAAGACAAAATTATCCCAGCTATTCAGCTCTACCTCACGGGGAGGACTGAGATCACAGAAACACTCTAGAATCTGGTTCAATTTGGCCAGTACATACCCTAGAATAACATGTTAAAGGCGTAAACTTACAACATGGATATATTAGAGAAGAATTAAATCGCCTTTTCAGGGCAATGAAATACGATAACAGTACAAATACAATTCATAATCTTAATTCGCTTCTTCCAGGCTGTACGACCTATCTCTGACCACTGCATAATGAAATTTCCCTTTCATCACTTATCAGATGTCAACAATTTCCCTGAAAAGCCGATCTTCATTAAATTTCTTAACTTCACTTTTTTCTGTTATTTCAAATCGGAACACCATAAAATCACTAATGAATAATATTCATGCAATTCACCCATATCTAGCAAGTATTTTAAGTGATAAGTATACTGCTCTCAATCGTTATATTCCTACCACTGTGCAAACACCTCACTGTATTTCGATCAATAAATAATTTAAAAAACGGTTCTTTTTCTAATATATATATATATATATATCCATTTGAAGTATTGGATGTTGAAAGAGTAGTATAGTCATTAACACTTGTTTAGCCCGCATACTTAAAATCTTATCACAATGACAGCAGAAATATTCAGAGAATTTAAAATCTACCTTAGTGTGCAAGCTTTTCTATTAAACAATCACATCCTCAGAAAAAAAAGTATATTTTATTGAGTACAACGAGGAAATCAAAAAGGTAAATTTACAGCGCATTAATTTCGATATAACTTATAGACAACAATAAAAAACACTTTTAAAACAAGAGGAAAATGAAAAAAGTTTACTTGCAAGGCGTGAAAATCTAATTCTACTACGAATCCCAAATAAGTAACGCATGATCAGAGAAGTTGCCGAGTTGCACTATATGCACAGCTAGCTTTAATCATTTGTTCGGAGATTCCGCCACGCCATATACCTCCAATAATTTTGCAATGCTGTCGTTGTACTGCCAGAAATGATAACTGTCTTAAGGTTGCTGGTTCAAGCGGGACAAATGCTACACCAGTGGGACATATGAATGCGAACTGTGTTTTTGAACAGGCCTGTAAGGAATTTTGCTTTCATAGATTCTAATCATCATAGACCTATATTTGAATATTAACTTGCAGAGGTCTACACTTGAATGCAGATCATACGAATACTAGTATCGTGGGCCTGTATCCAATAGTTACAGAAAAGTTAATTTCAATTTTTGCAAAGGAACTTAATTTCACATTTCAGTGCAGTGAAAAGCATATTTTATATTAGTGAAATCATTTTGTTTTGCCAACAACGATATGTAGGGCAATCATTCAACAAAAATGGTACCACTAAAGCAATAAACCATAAACAGCGATACCCCATAGAATCGTAGTTGAATATGCATAGGAAGACGGTATTTACCCGCTGGCATTACACGATAAACTTTTTGTTCATCATCAAATATGATATGGTAGAAAGCATGATATGCGTGACGGAAAATCTGGAAAGTGAGAAATTTTTTTTTCTTGAAGGAATTTGAAGGACAATAACCGAAAGTTAAAGAAACATAAAGAACTTTTTTACCCATCACTTTCAAATCATGAATCACGTGAACCTGTAACACTCAAAATCGTTAACATCTCCCTCTCGACCTTACACCTCCATCTGTTTTGTGTTTCACCAGCGCAAATTCTGATTCAAAATTTCTAGCACATCACAAATTATGTGCTATGAAGATGTAGTCCAAAATTAATTAAAGAAATAAGCAAAAGACACCTTTGCAATGCAGATACCTTCACTGACGTAAAAAGTAAGTGGTGATTCGACAGCTCCCATTCGGTGCACTGTTCGTCCGTATGTTTCACTGATACCCCTAACTCGCAATAGATTCAACTGCAAATAAACAAGATCCATTTTGATTAATAAATAGTTAATGTTTATTAATGACAGTTTAAATAGTCAATGACAATTTCTAGAATAATACACACCAATGCTGACAAAAGCTACTATCAAATGGACTAATACGTCATTACGAATTTTCAGAAAGCCATTCGGAAAATCTATGCGTGGTACCCAATTGCACATAAGTTTTACAGTTTATTATGTTAAATACATATGTTTTTAAACTAAAGAACTAACATCAGTAGACGTATCCGATGATGGTGGATAGGTGCTCCAGCAATTATTTTCTCCATCATAAACAACAATATCATGATTATCCTGTAGTTTAAACACTCTCCTTTTGTCACCATCTAAAACGATCGGGAAACGACTACACTTCTCCTCATTTTCATCTGCACCAATTGTCTCACTGATGATTACAAAGGTCATACTATCCTGAAGTAGATAACCTTCAGAAGTTGTATTTTTTCAATATGGATAAACCTTCGAACTTAAAGAAACCTCAAGAAGTGTTATTTTCCAAAACGGAATTGGTCCCATTACAACGCTTCTCTCATACATGTAGAGCTGATGTTTTCCACAGCCAAGTACAATATTCTCTAAGAAAACTTTATTCTCAAACTCGTCTCCAGATACTTCATCCAGATTAAACACATCACATGCACCGCTATCCATGTATATTCGCAACATCGATATTCGCGGTACATCACAATCCTGCAAACAATTTCCCATTGGAATCACATCTCCCCTTACAGTTAGTAAATGCATATAAATCAAATGACCCACTGTGATGTATGTGACACTTATATACTAAAAATTGAAAATTGATCGATAATCTTTTTTCTAAACACTGTACACCTTCAGAACATTTGCAGCTCTTTCTGACATCATATCCTTCGCACCTATGTTTACTTATTGAAACCTAACCATTTCTCATTCAAGTGGCCAAAATGGGGTTCAACTTTTTGAGAGTATATAACATTTGTTTTCTTTATCCAAATGGAAATAAAAAAACTCTCTTCTTTTATACTTCCCTCTAATTACGCCTCTACGCCCACTCCTTTCTCCACGACTTCATAGTCCAAGAATAGTTGTAATCAAACTTACGAATAGTGCGACAACAAGAGCGTAGATGTATGGCTCATCGGGTGATACAGTGTAAAAAGAATAGAAAAGCTGGATAAGCGGAAAGTCGAATAACTTTGACCAAGAATCGGGTATGAATGAATGGATGGACCATATTTGGATGCGATCATTACAGCATGGCGAAATGTACAATTGATGACCCCAGAAACCGATTTTCATGAGCCGATAATTACGTAACTCAGGAACAATCCCGAAAATGCGCATTTTATAAATGGAGACTTCTGATTCAACACTCGTAAACCTGGGTTAAATGTAACTAAAAGTTTAAAAACTTATTAGAACGATTAAATTTTTATTTTTTCCAGCAAGATATGAAAATAAGGATAAAGAAACCACTCAACGACAATGGCATAGAGAACGATTGTCGAGAAAGTGGAAGTGATGAAAAAAAATCCGTAATGGGTGATAAATCCTTCTTGGAGCTCCCAATTCTTTTCAACTAATCAGAACAGCTGAGCAAATGTCGAAACAGTAAGAAAAAGAAAAAAAACCTGATGGTGCTGATGATGATGATGATGCTGATGTGTTGTGGTTGAAATGAACTCGGAAGTCTGATGAGCGAATTAACAATCCTCTGAGTTGTTTACCATTTTGCAATATCCACAAAAACAACATAAGTTATCTAATCGACAGACTTCAGGCAAAGCATCCATCAGATAAACATTATTCCATCCGATCAATAATTCGTCATTTCCAATGTTTACTGATTAGTTGTCATCAAGTTATAGTGTTAAAGAAAAGGAGGTTCAGTGTATGAAGGAATGGTGAAATATTGTATTATTCTGAAGCGTAATGGATCGAGTGAAGTTTCGGTTAAAATGTTTATCATAAAGCAATGATATACAAGTCATCGAAATGCTACTTTTGCCTTTAGTATTGTTTTATTTGAACGAAGTAACGTTTTCAGTTATCATCAACTGAGCGAAAACTGATGTCTCAAATAAAAATGCTGGAACTCGAGGAGGACTAACAAACTGGTAGCTATCCAAGAAACCGTTTTAGTTCGGGAAATGAACAATCGAAATACACTATGAGGGAGGGAGAGAGAGATGTCCTCAATTCTCTTCTACTTCTTCGCCATTTTCACCTTGTTAGTGTTCATTTATGCGTTTCATATACCATATACTATTCAAGGTCAATTATTTTTACTTATACATGAAGCAAGTAACAAATTTACATACACAGTTAAGCTTATGCATCTTCATAGACGTGAAGCAGTGCTATAATATATGTTCTTCAAATCTTTGAATTAGTAATTCATCCTCCTTGACTATAACAGTACGAAAAGATATCATGAAATTGCGACAAAAACAGATATCATGAGCCTTGCTCGGAAGTTCTATAGCTAATTTTCTAAGCTGAATAAAAGCGGATATTTTGGATAATCGAAAACCTTAACAGGTACCCACAAATCTCATCAAAATCTTGATGTCGGAAAAACCGAAATAATTGTATCATAGAATTATTCATTCAAATAGTCGTGAGTTAACTATCTACAAATCGTCTAAAAATGTTTCCTCCCTAATGCTACATCCAGCAACTAACTTGTAAAAACTTGTGCACAAATCTTGTATACCGCTTGAGAAAGCTATACATCTCACAAAACAATTTCCTGTAATTTACTCTTTATCTATAAAACCAATCTTATACCTAGTATGTAAATTTTTTGTAGAACACTATCAATTTGTAATGATTGTTACAAAACTCTCCACACATTCCTTATATAAACCAGAAGAAATTTTAGCATCAATTCATCCAATTCTATCGGTCTCCACTCAGCTTCACACAACACACCCTTCATATTTCTCCCAGTTCACTATGTTACTACTTACAAATGTCGCCCATTGTTCTACTGGTATTATTTTGGACGTCATTTTATTGCATTGGAATTATTTTGAACCTGTTTCTATTGTATTTGGTATCCGGACGATAATAAAGGATAAACTGCTATACGTTTCGAACACACAACAATACCGGTACTCTGCAAGTCATTCCTTTAAAACTTAACTTTTTTTAGAACTAACAACAATATCCCTCATCTCTTAATTTTTTTTCACGGCACAAATTTTTGGTGCCTAAGGTGAGGTAAGACTGAAACTAACCATAACAAATAACAATTATAATTGGAAATCTCTATTGATATTATGACTTCCATCATACTAGAAAGTATAAAACCTGTAAAGAACCGACTAATAAATATCCTCCAAGAAGTAAGGACATTAGATGTCGGATCACCAGAATAAAGGCGACTCCTTGATGAGAAACTTATGAGGATACAAATGTGTAATCAATCACTTCAAGAAGCAAACGACAGATGAATCGATTATGTCCAAGGAGGAAGAGGAGAAATATAAAGAAGTAACGATAGGAGAGCAAGGAATTTTTAATTTAATACACGAAGCAAAAGAAGCCATTATTACTTTAACTATTTATGAGAAGGAGATTGACTTTGAAATCCAAAAACTAACACCAACTCCAAATCAGCGGCACGGATTACCAGCGGAGATACCGATGCCAATTCCACCTACTACCTATGGTAATGTCAATCTCCCTCAGTTATCTTCGCCTATTTTTAATGGCGATCAAAACAATGGAGAGAATTTTAAAGGAGCTTTAACTGTATCATAGAATCATTCATTCAAATGAATTGCATTTACATTTTTTTTTCTCTCATGCTTAAAGTCATGAGTCAAGCTATCTAATCTACTAAAAGTGCTTTTCCTGATGTTAAGATTTGTGCATATCTGGTAACTAATTTGTAAAAATATTTATCCCATGCAAAATCTTGTATACAATGGTGAGAAAGCTGTACATAAAATAAAATAATTTCTGTGCAATTTTTTCTAAAGAAAACTGTTCTTATATGTAAATTTCCCTTGCACCTGTGAGAGTACTGTCAATATGTAATGATTGTTCCTCTTCACACATCCCATATATAAACCCTAAGAAACTCTAACAAGAATCCGATGTTAATTTTCTCCACGTCGCCACTCAACTCTACTCAATACAATCCTGATTTATTTCCTCACCGTTTACGAATTGCTACTTTAATATTTCTCCCGTTATTCTACGTTATTAATTTGGACTTCAATCTACTATAATCGGAATTAGTTCCAACCTGTTCTTATTGTATTTGTTATTTGAACAACAATAAAGGATAACTATACTCCTCGAACACATAACCAATCAGTATTCAGTAAGTCATTCTTTCAAAAACATAACTGCTTTATTACTAACAACCACAGTAATCTTCATCTTCTAATTCTCTTAATTTTTGTCAGGACAAAAATTTTTGATGCCCGAGGTGGGGTACTACTGAAATTAACTATAACAAATAATTACAATTGGAAATCCCTATTGATATGACTTCTGTTATACTAGAAAGTACAAAACCTGTACGGAATCGACTAAGTGGCTACCAGAGGACTATCGCCACTTCAACTCATAGAGTTTAAACCATGATGGAAAAGACCAGAATGGCTAACAAAGGGAGAGACAGACTGGCCACACTTGGTAAGCAATATTGATGAAGATCACAATGAAAGTGAGAATGAGGAACAAAATCAGAAGATCGTCTCGCATATCACTATTAACAAGGCCTTCAAATTAATCGATGCAACAAGAGTAAATGGACAAGATTGATAAAAGCAACATCATGGGCTTTGAAATCCTTAAATTTAATATTCAAGCAAAGAATTCCTTGGTTAAACACATCATCAAGAAAGAACCGACTCAATAGCGACGATTATGAACTAGCCATACATGTATTAATTAGACAAGCCCAATCGGAAGTAATAACGGAAGAAGAAATAATTAAATGGAATTCTATACTATGAAAAGGGACTACGGAAATCAAAAGGTCGCCTAGAATATGCAGAATTGGACGATGCATCCCATATATCTTCCTAGACATAATCGTATAACCGAAATCTTTATTCAACAACAACACGAAGAATTGTTTCATGCTGGAACAGCTCATACGATATTAAGTTTAAGAAAAAGGTTTTGGATACCCAAAGGGAGAACAGAAGTTAAAAGAGTTTTGAATAAATGTATGGGATGTAAACGATGGAAGGCAAAACCATTTAAACTACCAACCATGCCTAATTATCCAGCAACTCGAGTAAGACGAGCACGAGCATTCGCACGAGTTGAATTGGATTATTTAGGTTCCGTTTCTATCAAAACAGAAAGAGGAGTTACAAAAAGATGGGTTGCCTTATTTACATGTTTTACTACTAGGGCAGTGCATCTGGAAGTTTCTTGAATATCTTCAGAAGATTTGTTGCACGACACGGCTATCCAGATATAATTCTAAATGATAGTGCGAGTCAATTTCAACTAGTTTTCCAAACTTTAATGAAACAAGAAACATAATTGACCGAATTTCTTGGATAAACATTGAAATAGAGAAATATAATTCCGAAGGCGTCCTGGAGCGGAGAAGTCTATGAACGGATAGTTGGTATAACGAAAGGGGCACTAAGAAAGGTTATTGGAAAGAAATTACTAAAGGAAACGAAATTTACAACCTTAATAGTAGAAGTAGAAAGCATACTTAATACTCCCCCATTAACTTGGCAAATTTCGATGGTTCCATAATTCTAAGACCTACAGACTTTATCGTATCAGACGTATGTTTAATGATACCTACTAGTAATACTGATGTTCAGGATGATTATATCCCTTACAAGTTAAGCACTCATGAGAAACTTATTAAATACTGGGCAAGTACAACAAAAACCCTGGATACATTTTGGGAAATATAGAAGGACGAGTACTTAACTAGCTTGAGAGAACGTACACAAGCAGAATATAAACCTCCGATAAGCGTAGAGATTAGAGCTCCTATTGAAGGAGAAATTGTGTTGGTAAATGAATCAAATGCTCCTCGCGGTACATGGAAACTAGCAAAAATAAGGAAACTCAATAAAGGGTAAGATAATAAGACAAGAAGTGCTCTAATGGAGTTATCACGAGGAAGATTAATGAATCGACTTATAAATACGTTACACCCACTGGAAATCAAATAGAAAGAAGAAATAAAGGATCAAACAGTAACGTCGGAGAACTCTATAAATCAATCAAAGCAAAGCACTGTCGGAAAAACCGAAATAATTGTATCATGAAATTATTCATTTGAATAGTTCGCATTTATATTTATTTTTTCTCTCATGCTCAAAGTCATGAGTCAGTTATCAAATCTTTAAATCCTCTAAATGAGCTTTATCTGATGTTGAGATTTGCGTACATCTGGATGACAACGAATCTTATAAACATGGATGGGCATACTGTAGAGATATCTAATCTTATAAACATGTTTATATATCCAACATGTTTATCTCTAGATATCTGTTAAGCATCGCATTTCTTTCCTTTCTCCTTACACACTCCTTATATAAACATAAGGAATCATTCATTCATTAAGATTCATTCATTGTTGCCAAAAAGCCATCTGTCGACACTCAGGTTCACACAAACGCTCTTCATCTATCTCTCCCAATCTACTAATCCTTACAAAATCTCATTATTCTACCGGCTTTACCCTGGAAGTCATTCTATTGTAATTGGAATTATTTATACCTATCTTCACTGCATTTGGTATCCAGACGATAATAAAGGATAATCTGTTGTAAGTTTCGAACACACAACGAACTGATACACTGTAAGTCATTCCTTTAACACTTAGACAGCTTCCACAACGAACAATAACAATCTCCCCCACCTTCTTAATTCCCTTTCTTTTAACTGTCACGACAACCTTTTTGGTGCCCGAGGTGAGGTACTACGGAATTAGCCATAACAAATAATTGTAATTGGAAATCCCTATTGATATGACTTCTGTTATATTAGAAAGTATAAAACCTGTAAGGAGTCGACTAATAAACATCCTCCAAGAAGTAAAGACATTGTTGGATTGCCAGAACAAAGTTTGCCATGTTCAGAACGACTTCAAATACATGAAGCTAGAAAGCGACTTTTTGAAGAAAAAATTATGAGGTTACACATGTGCACTCAATCAACTTCAAGAAGCAAATGGCAGGTGGATCGGTTATCTTCAAAAGTCTCTTACCACATCAAGAAAAAAGGAGAAGGAGGAAGAGAAATATCAAGAAGTAATAATAGGAGAGCAAGGAATTTTTAATTTAATATATGAAGTAAAAGAAGCCGTCATTACTTTTATTTATCAAAAGGATATTGACTCCCAAATCCAGAAATTAACACCAAATCCAAACCAGCAGCACGCATTACGAACAGAGATAACGAAGCCAACTCCACCTACTACTTATGTTAATGTCAATTTCCCTCAATTATCTTTACCTACTTTTAATGGCGATCCACAACAGTGGAGAGAATTTTGGAGTAGCTTTGACGCTGCTGTCCACTCACAAACCATCCCGGAAATCCAAAAACTAAGCTACTTAATCTCCTGTTTGAAAGGATCAGCACTACAAGCCGTAAGAGGTTTTGATATTGCCCCTGAAAACTATGAAGTAATGCGAAAATTGTTGACCGAAAAATATGGAGACTCATCGATGACAACCAAATTACTATACAACGAACTAAAATCCATAAAACGAAACGAAAAGGAATGGATTGAAGCCGTTGAAAAAAGGGAAAGAATCTTCCGACAATTAGAAGTACTGGATGAAAATTTGGAACACTCCAGTATAGAAAGTGTGGTTGAAAGCCGACTATCGCGATGGATACTTGACAAAGCATACCATCAGAAAACCAACGGTTCTCCATGGTCAATATTAAAACTAAGAAGATTTCTCGGAGTTCTCCATGGTCAATATTAAAACTAAGAAGATTTCTCGGAAACTTAATGCAAGTTAATGAACAGGTAAGAAACCAATTCACCTCTACTCAAATGGAAAGAAAACCCATTTTGTCTAAATACAAACAAATTCCAAAAGGATATAATGAAACTTCAGCACTGGCGACAATTCATAATGAGAAGGAAATTCCTTAATAACGAAGAAGGGAGAAAATAAAACTAAAAGACCATGTACATTTTGTAACCAAGATCACTGGGACAGTGAATGCCGAGTATATCCAACTGTGAAAGCTTGAATGAAACGTCTCAAGGAAATAAAGAAATGTATTATTTATCTAAAGACACAGCAAGGCGAAGAATGTAGAAGAAAGGTAAAATGTTTTTACTGAAAAGCTGCTCATAACAGTGCGCTATGCGAAAAAAGAAATCAACTACATCAGAGCAAAACTTCAAGTCTTAACATGAGCCAAACAAATGAAGAAATCAGCAAATCGGAAGATTGTTCGATTAACTACAATCCGACAATGGTGGCTCA